AGTCACGGAACGGATTAAGTTCATAACTAGAGGTACCACTGTAATAGATTTTGGACTGGTCTGAATAAAGGCAAGCAACTTCAGATTTTTAAAATCTGTTTTACTGGCCCATTTTGCCATTATTTTGCATGTATTCAGAGCTTTCTAGATAGGTCTAAGACAGTCATGCCTAAAAGGTAGAGACCTCTTGGTTTGGGATTCAGCATTGTTAGGGAAGTCATTGGAATGAGAGCATTCTGATTTATCATGTTTTAGTGGAATTTCCTTTGAATTTCTGTGTGTGTGTGTGTGTTTTGTTTATTACCAGAATATGGCTTTAACTCATTTCCCCTATGAATTCCACTTCAAATCTAGTCTAAGAAATATCAGCAGCCATCTTTTTTTCTGTTTGTCTACATGTTTTACTTTTTCTAATAAACGAAACAACAAAATAGTGCTGATACCATTGCCTGAAAATTAAGATTGTGTTCTTTTCTATTTGTGCAAAGGTAGTTTAATCATTAGATTTCATCAGAGTGTAAAGTCCAAATGAACAGGCAAGATAATTGATCTTTGAATTGAAACCAGCAGGAATAAAGCCAGTTTTAAATCCCCATTAATGATTGCATATGCTCTTTATTTTGCCTTCACAGTAACCTAGAAGCGATGTGTTAAAGCAAGAACGTTATTGTATTTTTCACTCTAAAAATCTTTTTCCTTAGGTTCTTTCCAGCCAACAAATGAAATGATGTTGAAGTTCTATAGCTTTTATAAGCAAGCAACTCAAGGACCTTGTAATAGTTCAAGACCTGGATTTTGGGATCCCATTGGTAGATATAAATGGTAAATATGAGACATCAAAGATGTTTTCAAGATAAGTAGTTGTGCCTTGTCCATGGCAGTTGTACATTTTTTCCCAGTATGGAAAGCGTCTGGCTTGGTGACATAGCACATCCTTTGCCCAGATTCAGTCCTTGCTATCTCCAGATGGTGCTGGAAAAGTATCTTAAATAGTAAAAGTTGCTTTCGTTCATTGTAGAGAATAAAAGCTGATGGACCAAATGACCTGCCTTGATACATTGGTGCTTATGTTCTGAGGAATACTTTTATTTGGACAAAAACTGTACTAGAAAGAATATGAATGTGTGTACTATTTGAAACAGAGCTTGATCTCTTTTTTGCCTTTTTTTTTTAAACTGAGGATTGTTGCCTTTTCAGAAATTCAGGCTCCAAGTGGAGGGTGTGTGGATTCAAGGGAGGCATACTCATACTGTCTTGTATGTTGCCCTGTCTAGCAGTCTGTGCTTACTGTTTCAGCAAAGTATATGGCTATGGAAATATGCAGTGTGATGTGAGAGATTGTGGAGCGCCTGAGAAGAGATCATGGGCAAGTCAGTTGACAGCTCATCTTACAAATCAGTGTTTCTCAACCTCAGCAACTTTAAGATGTGTGGATTCAGCTCTGGCTGGGGAATTCTGAGAGTTGAAGTCCACACATCTTAAAGTTGCTGAGGTTGAGAAACACTGTTATAAATGACAGTTCAGCCCTGGTGGGGAGAAATCCAGGAAAAAGCATCCCAAAGTAATCAGAGAGGTCACCTTAAGTAACTCATTATAAATGAGATGGGGGAAATCCTATTCCCAAGACTCTGTATTTACCCCAGAGGAGCTTTAAAGATACCTTATACTAAAATCTATGTAGTTCTTCGATCTTGTCCCATTGCATGGAGCTTCACACATGATGATATCACATATACCATGACATCATTGCATAAATGGCAGAGATGATGCAAATTATGTGTGTGAAGTCACTTATCCTCTGCTGCAGACTCCCACACTTGCAGATCAAACTGTAAAAAGTCCCTAGGAGGAAGAAAAAAACTTGCAGTGTTGTGGTGTTAAAAGAAAACCAGAGGCTAAAAATCTTTCTGTTCCTTCTGACTTACAGGAAGACTATTTCTGCATCATGTATATAATTCCAAGTACAGTACTTATGGCCTTTTTTTCTGCCATTATATCTTTTCATGCATTCTTAAAACTATTGATCTTTGACCTTCTTAGCAGGGTTCCCTAAGTTCTTTGCTAAAGAATTGGGACAAATAATATGTTCTGCAGAAGCTTGCTCATTTTGAATAGAGCACAGCTTAGCTTAATTTATTATGTTGTAAAAGTATTTGTACACTGCTTGTTTTAAAAAGGGGTTTACAATTATATAGATTTATTCCCACTGAAAACTGAGTCACATGTAGAATGGATGGCTATATGGATCGAATGAATGACTAAATAAATAAATAAGAATTGTAGTTGTAGAATTTGACGTTTTTATCACAGCACTATTAACCAGGTCTTATATTTGTGTTTCAGTTTATTGTGGGGGCAAGTAGAGCAAATGGCAGCCAAATTCAGGGAGTTGGAATGTGGTGTTTCAAAATGTTACCCTCTAATTTGGTGGCCTCCCTGGCTTCATTGATTCTATATATAAATTAGTTTAGGACTGGGTCCTCTTTCCTAGGAGATAGGAAGGAAGAAGGATGAAAATTGGAGCATTTATTAAAAAAAAGAAAGTAAATGGAAGATCTAAAAAACAAACCCAAATTGAACTGTGATTCTGTATTGAAAATCTATGCAGTTCCTTAGGCAATAGATACACATTTATGCTCACAGTCCTATATTAATTCTGGAAGTAATGATTATGCAGTAGTCTAATCTAGTATTTTGAAGATGTTCTGCCTGTGACATTCATTGTAGGGATGCGTGGAGTGCTTTAGGCAATATGCCCAAAGAAGATGCTATGATTGCATATGTTGAAGAAATGAAAAAGGTAAGAGCTGTTTTATAGACAGAAACATATATTCTGCAGTAATTTTATTTCTAGACTCTGTAGTCTTCTGACTTGATTAGTTTTTAACTACAATTCAGGAGGAATTTCTGTGACTTACTTAATGGCAGCCTAGCTTTTTAGGAAAATTGCTGCCATGAAAAACAAGTGATCAGTCATAGTGTAGAGTATTATGGAAGTTTATGCTAGACAAACAGCCTTCATTGGATTGCTGGAGGTGGAGCTAATTCACAGAAAAATAAGATGAAGCATGTGACATTTTACATTTGTGGTTGAAGGTCTTAATTTTTTTTTTGCTGGATGAAATGCGTTGCCAAATACTAGGTGGCTTGAAAATGAAGCATGCAAAAAGCTAAAAATATGTAAGACTCTCACTACCATTTCCATTTTGGTGGCTGATCAGATTCAGTCTCTTCTGCAAACAATGCAGAATTTTTGGTATGTCTCATTCTGCTTTGAATAGAGAGATGTACTCTTTTCCATTTTTTTGATACTGAATAAGAAAGTATTTATTTAATTTATTTATTTGTTAAATTTATATGCTGCCCATCTCCCCCAGAGGGTGACTCTGGGCAGCTCACAATTAAAAT